TGAGTTATCTAAGAAATTAAGTAAAGAACTTATACATCGTTGCGACTATTCTCTCATAATTCTGTCCAGCCGCGCGCCGCTGTTGCCCGTGAGTTTTAATATTTTGATAACTTCTAGAATCTTGGTCAGAATTACATACAGTAAAAAGGCAATTATGATCTACATTTAATACTCTATCGTGAAAACATATTTATTTGGATAAGTATTCATACCAAATAAGAATAAAAGCGTTTTAAATGAAGTCGATTGCATTTATTTGACGGTTTTCGCGAAACAAACGGTTATTGTGCGACAACCTTAAGAGATAGTTATATGCTATCGCGGACTTTTATTTAGCTAATTGAATGAGCTACAATTCTTTGATACATCATTTTTATGTAGGTCTTATAGTTTAGGCTACGTAAACCAAGAAAGAAAACTTTGTTACAAGTTGGTATTTTTTTCTGCGACTCGTAATTTGCTTTTTATGATATCTCCTAAACTATTAATTGGAATTATATAGTTCCAAGGGCATTTATAATCTACATTAAATTCTCTTGATGATAGTCACATTTATTTGTATAAGGATTCATACCGAACACGAGTAATACTACTACACGAGTAATAGCGTTGAAAGTTGGGTGTAGATTTCAAGCGATATTTTAATGAAAAAAGTGGTTATTGTGCGACAACCTTAATAGATAGATATATGCTATCGCGGACTTTTATTTAGCAAATTTAATGGGCTACAATTCTTCCATACATCATTTTTATGTAACTCTTATAGTTTAGGCTACGTAAGCAAAGAAAGCAAAAATGACCCGAAATTTCGTCGCGCGATTTTGAGCTAAACTATTTAACTACGTCGTAGTCTTAGACTCCAAAAATTAAACAAAAAAATGGGACCCACCTGCACGCATTACCTTTCGGATAAAAAAAGAGTTGTCAAAATCGGTCCTCTAGCGGCGGAGTTATGCCGTAACACACAAAAAAAAAACATACAGACAAATTGAGTACCTCCTTCTTTTGGGAAGTCGGTCAAAAACAGTAACAAACGTAAAATAAACCAAAAGTATAAGTTGAAGTAAATTGAATTAATGAAATTAACAATGAATATTAAAGTAACAATTAAGATATTTTGAAGTTTCCCCTCGGCCATCCAATAATAAGGAAAATCGCATCTATCACCTATTCTATTCTATTATCTGTTTATGGCTCTCCCTCAGCGGATTGGGCAACAGCTATCACCTAACAATACCGCCAAAATGTGAAGGTCATCCGTCGTTCTTCTATGTCATGCTTTGTCCTGTTGCCAAAGGTGGGTTTTCGAAAAGATTGTTTTAATAACAGTTATTTATTAAACTGTTACTGGTTCTAAATTTTATTTTGAATTTGTGTTTTTGGTTTATTTGTCGTTTGGTATTGTTTTTAATTACTTTTATGGGAGTTTTCAAAACCAACCGTAACTTTAGTTCGAGTACGAATACCACCCGATTTCTTTGAAATCATGTGTTTATTTCAGTGACCTGGTGACAAGTTCCTGGTTATTATGCATTTTTGGAGAGCTTAGGAAACGGGCATGTTTTCAAAAAAAATCTGCAGACTTAGTTCCATAATGATTTTTTTCGTTTTTAAAGCATTTCAGTGGATGAGAATCTCGAAAAATATAGACGTAAAATGTTTCTCTAGCTGGCATTTTTTAATTTGGACAGATAAATGATGTTTTTATATTGTAAAATAATCAGTGTTTAATGGTTTTTATAAATCCGAAGAAAAAATTGAGTTTTCATTGATAGTTTTTTTTTAATAATTTTTTGAAGTTGCAATTTCGTCTTATTTTGAAAAAATCGAAAAATCAAGGTTACTCGAAAACGGTTAACTTTTGGATAATGCAAATAGGGGTCAAAATTATCACAAATGATCCCCTTTATTACCTCCTAACGGGAATACGTCTAATCTATACTATTATAATAAAGCGTAAACACACACTTCTTTGTTGCCTAAGATGTCAGCAATTACAGCATACTTTTGGATTATTCTTTTTTTAATAAAAAGCCCTACACTTACGTCATGCTTTAGGCTACTATATGTTTTCACGCCATTAAACTTAGGGGTAAATATTTTAGATAAAAACCGTAATGTGGGAAAGAGACCATAAGTTGCTACCAACTTCAAGAAAGGAAAGTTGTCATCATGTCATGTCAATTTGACATTTGTAATTGATAACTTGACAAATGTAAACAATAAAATAAAATTTTCATAATTTCATGCGGCCGAAGCCGCACGGGAACAGCTAGTTACCAATAACCCTGTATATATCTTTATGATTTTTCCGGTCTTTCAATATCTCATTTTTCTACTATAAATTGACAAAGGAAATCAAAACAGGTCTCGGCTTTCCGTTTAGGCATTTCCTTCCGATGCGGTACATGTTGTTTATTTCAAAGTCACTAAGGTTCAAATTTAACTCTTTATTAAATAACTTATTCACCTCTTGCTTAAGTCCTGACGTAGATTCTTCTTGTTGTTTTGCTTCTTATCCCTTTGCAAGTTTTCCATTGCTTTCTCTAGGACTGTTATTTTTTTCTTTGTTTTCCTCTATAATAGGCTTTATTTTTTCCTCCAATTTTTCCATGATCGAATTATTTATAGACTCTTTCAGTTCCATCGTCTGTTTCTGTATTTCGACTTTCATTTTATCAAATAGAATTTAAAATTGATCATCCATGTTTGAATTTTTCAATGTCTGCGTATATTGGAACGCGGCGGTTGAAAGGTACTTTTTCGCGTCGGCAACACCGATGATGACACTGACAGTAACAATATGACGTTTCTAATAACGCGTTATGATGAATGTCTAACCTTAATCCGGTAGTTGGTTCATGTTTAATCGTAGTCTATCTTGTTTCCGCGTTTATTCCACCACAGTTAACAATTTCATAGATGCACAGCACTTATAATTGTGTTTTTCACTATTCTTCGTGTACAACAGTTTGTAAATAGTTATTAATCAATTTAATTTTTGAGGACTGTACTACATATAACGATGTTTACTTTTCGAGAACCGGAACCGGAAAAAAATATAATTAAGTTTTAGTATCTAAGCATTTAATATTAATTGTAATAAGAAAAGCAATAAAGGCTGTTTTATTTTATTTTTATAATAAAGTTACTAAATAAGTGTGATACGGACTTATTTACTGAAAACCAGCGCGGCCTTCAGTGACAAGGTGGAGGCCGCATCAGTTGAGCGTTTTCCTTTTGGCCAAGAATTTTTTGTCATTTTTTTTCAGTAATATGATTTGTAAGTTGTGTTCTTTTAAATTTGTTTTTTTTTTTTTGGCAAATAAGTAGTGTTTTATTTTATTTCTGGAATTATACTACTGCATACGCACGCCCAATGAATCTATCTGACACCGGAACAGAGATAATGCCGACATATATGTACATATTGGTACCTTATTTGTTTCCTGTTGTAGTATTTATTATGCGTTTCCCATATCCAGTTCAAATATTTTTCATTTCCAAACCAGTAAGCTGAGAAAAACATACCTGAAAATTATAATTTCTTTAAAATATTATTTCGGTTTATCAAAGGACAACTTGTCAACGCTGGTCTCAATTTATTAATGTGATATTGTTACCAAAGGATGGACATCTCTTCACTGTTGTTTGTGTATAACTCATTAATTATAAAAACGAAAGTTTAGATTGATGGATAGATGGAAGGATATTTGGTAGAGTTTGCCGCCTAAACGGTTTAGCAGTGATCAATGAAATTTGGAATAAACGACATGTAGGGCATAGTCTGTAAGAACATATAAGCTATATTTGCTTTTGTTTTTTTTTAATTTCTGATTCTATGCGGATGGTGACGCAGGCGAAAGTGGGTATTATCATAATTGCGAAAGATTACATGGATGGACAAATGTTTGTCATTACATATTTCGATAATTGCTTAACGGATCTCGCTGAAATTTGGCATATGTATATAACATAGCCTAGAAGAACACAAAGACTAAGTTTATAAAATTCAGCGCAGACGACTTGGCGGGCAAAAGCCAGAATGGTTATAACTAAGGTTGTAACGGGCCTCCGCATCCGCATCCGTTTCCGTTATTTCTTATGCGGAGGGTAACTTACGTCGTTGACGCGATAGGAACAACTAGATATCGTTTATGCGGCCCGCGAGGGCGTGCTCGGTCAACTAGCAGTTGACATTTTCGCTCATACGCAGGTTAGTGGTTGAGATTTGACTGTTATTAGTGTGTTGGCAGCATTGGCAAAATTTTTATTTAAAAAAATTGCCGGGTGCCAAAACATGTACATCTATAAGCTTGGGTCGTTGTGCGCCGACAAAAGGCGGGAACGTTTGATAGCCCTTTTGTGGCGTGCGTGCGGAGGACAGCGAAGGACGCGGTGTCATTTATTTTAAGAACCAATATAAATATCGAATGTTGTTCGTAAAATACAATTTGCCTATTCTCAATTTTAATTTTTAGTTAAATATATACTATATTAAGATGAGCAGTTTGTCACCTTCCAATTGGTATTGCAAATGTTCATAACTTATAATTGTTATACATTATATTTGTATAACAAACATATGGTATAATTATGTACAAATCTGTATTTTGAATTAAAGTACTTTTAGTTTTTATTTCTTTAATAAATCGCAATTAATATTTTATTATTGACCTCCGCTTCCGCTTCCGTTAATCTTCGCTTCTGCAGAGGTAAAGCCCTTCGTTTCCGCATCCGCTTCCCTTAAAATGACCTCCGTTACATCCCTAGTTATAACTTAATTTTGAAAGTATGAAAAAATTATTTAGATAATTATTTAGATCTAAAAAAATATGAATAGGCACACGCACCCCAGAGAAGGACGAATGTTGCAAAGTACGGTGTATACTTATTATCGAATAAGACATCCAATGTATACCATTTACAAAAGTGAAATATATGGTATGTGTAACACCATGTACCTGTCGAATAGTCAACGCACAAAGTACTAATCCGTATAGCAGGAATATCTTTACAAAGCGGTTCCCTAAAAGAAATGAGAATCCTTCATTTTAGATATACACATGAAAGCCTACAGATTGAAAAAATCTATATTACTATCTATAATATAATAAAGCGTAAACACACTTCTTTGTTGCCTAAGATGTCAGCAATTACAACATATTTTCGAATAATTATTTTTTTATTAAAAGCCCTACAATTACATCATGCTTAAGGCTATATATTTTCACGCCATTAAACTTAGGGGGTTAGTATTTTGGATAAAAACCCCTTATATGGGAAAGAGACCATAAATTGCTGCCAACGCCAAGGAAGCAAGATTGCCATGGTTTGTCATCATGTCATGTCATATTGACATTGGCAATTGATAATTTGACAAATGTAAACAATAAAATAAAGTTTTTTATAATTTTACGCGGATGAAGCCACACGGGAACAGCAAGATATATTATAAACAGGAAAGATTTATACTTATGAAGGTATTGGAAAACTCAAAAAGTGCTGAGCCGTTTTAAAAAAATCTTTCACTATTAAAAGCTACGTTGTCAGTGAGTAACACGGGTTACATTTTTATACTTTCACGAGAACAAATTTGCGAGCAACAGTTAGGGTGAGTTGCATCGAATCGCCGGTTATTGTAAAAGTTATAGTTATAGTTAATAGGGTTACAAGTGCGAAAACATATTCTCACAGAGGTTTTATGTGTTTTTCGTTTTTACAATGGAAACATTTAAACCTGAGTGTCACTAAAGTGTCAAGTTGGTGTCAAGAATGACATTTACGTAAATTAAAATGTTTGGAAATTCATGTTTCGCCGTATATATTTATGTATCATACGCATGGTATTTTATAGTGACATAAACTTTTTGCCCACTGAGATGGAGAAAATGGCAAACTCTTGTGAAAATAAACTAGTTTGGGCCATTATTGAAACTGTATATACTTTACTACTCAAATATTTAGCAAAAATGAAGCAATAAAATTATACAAATATAAATGCATTTTATTTATTTTCCATATTATAAATTGTCCTGTCAATGCATATTATAAATTGTCCTTTTATGGAGGACATTTTTATAAACAAGAGAAAAAGGACAAGCGCTGTCGCTATGGCCTTAGACACTCGAAATTTGTCCAAACCGAATGTTTGGCCAAATTTCGAGTTCCATCTTGGAAATCCATTATTTCCGAGCACGCAAGACTTTATTCTTCTGGATTACGTATAGGATACTAGTAGAGATTTTCTTTTTCCATTACTTTTTCCATTATTTGTACTTTTGAAGATAAGAGCTTGTGACAGTTGACACTACCGAACTGACACTAACCGTAACGCTAACTATAACCGCCCAAAATCGGGCGGTTATGATTAGTGTCAAATATGACGTCATTTTGACCAGCGCAAAACTGGTGTAGCGAATATCATGAACATCCGTAGACGTAACCATCGGGAATGTGCTGGTTAAGGTTTATAGTTAGTTAATGTAACTCACCCTTAGTAAATTTTAAGGTTATTCCAAGTATTACCGTTACAAATAATTTTAACTTTAACGGTAACCGGCGATATGGTGCAACTCACCCTTAGTGATTCATAAAATACATTAAACAGTGGTAGAGTGTGCTTTAACATCTTCGCACTGTAGGGCCGGCTCGAACGTCGCAATACCACGACCTCAAAGAAGATAGGCATGAAGTTTAAGGAGTTTCGCGTTTCATCTCCTGAGTGTGCAGGCCGGAGACCTTTTAGTCCATTTTCCTTCTTATCGCTTACTTAAAAGAAAGTGTATTTAACGATAGAGGAGAAGCATAGGAAGTAGAAACATCATCTTAATGTGCGTCTACTTCTTCGATCAAGGGTAGGCAAATCGTCTGCAATCGCGGATATCTATGTCATATTAAAATGCTAAAATTATAATTTTTTTCTTGTTATCTCAAACTTAAAGAAGGAAGAGATTCTCATTTTGTCTAAGTTTTTTAAATGTACTAAATAAACACAATAGAAGCCAATGAACGATGAAGTTTAATCTATTTTTAATACGAAGAGCACTGTTTTCGTGTAGTTAAATTTTAACGACAAATAAATATAAATCAAGAACTTACCTCAAATCCATGTAGGTGTCATTACAAAATATAGCTAAGAAGAATGTTAAAAGAGCCACTATGGACGCAATTGCTAGAAAAATATTGTAAAGTCCGTAATAAGCGAAGTACAGGGCAACCTGAACAAAGATTAAAAATGTAAATACAATACATCGCTCCACGATTAAATCGACGACAGCAAATAAAAAAAACAAAACCGACTTCCAAACAAAATACACTAAAAACAAAATACTCTCAAAAAACAACACACTTAAAAGTAACGAAATACATCCTCGAATTACTTAAACCGTAAACCTCACTTATTGTAGCTGTTATGTCTATATTGTACAACTAGCTGTTGCCCACGGCTTCGTCCGCGTGGAGTTTAAAAGTTCAAAACTTATGTTCGCTCCTTTTTTCAACCTGTTACCTAAAGTATTATAACAGTATTATAGTAATCTACGAAATTAGAGAAATCTACTGATGCCAGATACGAAATTTTTAAGCCAGGTAGATTGTGAGCTGATTTTTCGGCTACCGTTACTGTTTGTGTTCGTTTTATATACCTGGTTTAAGCAACGTAAACCGAGAAAAGTTAGAATTTAGTCATTTTTTAACACCGGGGTCCAGAAATACGCTGTTTATTAATAGTCCCTCAATATAAGTAACAATAAAATGTAGCTAAAGTTACTCACAGATAAATGACATTTGTAATGTTGAAAGAATTTTTAAAATCGGCCCAGTAGTTTTTGCGTGAATCAAATACATACAAAAATATAAAGCTTTCCTCTTTATAACATTAGTATGGATAGTACAGATATAGATATAGATTAGTATTACTTTGATTTCGGTGTCAGTCGAGACAGGCAGTGATATTTCTACATAAGGCTTTCTACATTTTTACTATAACAAGTGACAATTGAACGTATAATAACGTTTAAAGAATGAATTCTACCTTGACTGACACCGACTTCAAAGTAATACTAATTGTACAATACAGACATAACAGCTACAACAAGTGAGGTTTAAGGTGTAAGTAATTCAAGGAATTATTTTGTTACTTTTCAGTGTGTTGTTTTTTGAGAGTATTTTGTTTTAAAGTGTATTTTGTTTGGAAGTCGGTTTTGCTTGTTTTATTTAAATTTTATTTATTTATCAATTTTTAGTGCGTCTAATAATCGCAATATGATAATCACTAGCTTTCAAACAAAGAATGAGTTATCTAAATCGCCGACGCCGCACAAACGATCTGATGTTCTTGTTCAAGATTGTTAGGGGTCACATGAGCTGCAGTGAATTAATTAATCGAATATCGTATGGTTTACCACCGAGACCTCCCAGGCACCCAATATTTTTATACAATTGTGTAAATCTAACTTAGGCCTGAACTCACCCATACCCCGGATATATCGTACGTACAACGAATTGCACAGCGAACAGCACAACACAGACATATTTTGCACCTCCATACATAATTTAAAAAACACATATGTTCACATTCGGAGGCACAGACATAGGACTTGGTTTTAGCTAATTTCTTTTTTCTCTTATCTTGTTTGTTCCACATTTTCTGTAACC